GTAAACTATATATATAATTATATATAATTATATATAATTATGTACTCTAAAATTATATATTTACCATATAAATATGCAAGAACAATTATTGCATTCTGGTTATATAAAACTATTAAATCATTCTTTTTTATGTATTTATCAGATAAAAATGTTATAAACATTGACGTAATAAGTATATCTTAAGATTGTGCATTCTTACTAAGTTACATAGTTTAGAAAGAGAGAGAAAGAGGTAATTAGATACATTGCTCTTTTTTTTCTCTCTCTCAAATATTAGTAATGGGGGATAATTACACAAAAATTTAATTGCTCTTTTTTTATTGCTTTCTTTATTGCGCCTTCTCAAAATTAAAGAGAGATACTGATAAGCTTTAATTGCGTTCTCTTTATAACAGATTGAAGATATTAAGACAGAGGACGCGCAGTTCATACCTATTATGTTTATTAGAAAATCTAACATAATTTGTACCTAGCATATTTATATTATATGGAAAATATTATTAACGATTATAATTTTTATGAAACGAAGCTGAAACCATTATACTTTTACATTTTATTTCATAACGTAATACAAAAATTGATTACACTATAATGATAGTATTTGGAAATTTTTCTCTTTTCTGAAGAGATGTTTCGAAATATAAAAAAATTAATAATGTTGTAAACAATTAACATTTTTGATTTTTTCCGTATTTTCCTTGTTAGTTATTTCAGCGTTCTTCTAGTTGATACTTTGCAACGAAAGCCTTCCATTGTTCAGGTTTATTTTTTTTATACCAATCCTGTATTAAATTCATCATTTCTTTTTGTCTTTCAGTACATTTCTCACTTAATTTCATTTAAATCGAAAAGCTTTTATAACAATCTCTGAAATCAATAAAAAAAAATTTTTGACTAAATTCTTGACATGTCCGTCATATTAAAAAAATCACTGTCAGATTGTTAAAAGATCAGAATGATACACATTATTATTTTGAGCAGCATATGTCATAAATAGCAATATTACAGTGAGATGCAATTTTTATTATATCTATATAACGATATCATAATGACATCATGTTTAGCAAAATCCTCAAGTAGAACACCAGTCATTATGACATCAAAATGATAAATAAAAGTCACTTTTACGATTTATTATAACATCACTATAATGTTAAGATGATTTGTTGTTCCACTTGATTGGACATTCGCACATCATTTTATTGTAATATTACTGTAACTTTTTTTGTTATAGAGGTTTTAATCTTTAGATCCCCTTATTCTCGCTCCTATCCGAGCAAAATTTTGCGCGTCACGTACATAATCGATAAAATCGTGCTGCATGCGCTTGTTACTTCAATTGTTACTGTTATTTCACTTTTTAATCATAGAATTAACTAGAAGGTAGATTAACTTGAAACTAAGTAAAATTACGATTGAAAACCATCTCATGACGATGTAATTCTTTAATAGAAGTAAAAAATAAAAGTAAAAAACGAATGATCCGATAATGACAAGTAAAGAAAAAATAAGGAGAAAAAAAAGATTAATTTATAATAAACATATAATTTTTTTCTCTCTTTTCTTCCGTCTTTTCTTCTCTCTTTCTTTTTTATAACAAACTTTTTTGTAACTAATAAGTGTGAATAGAAAATTGAAATTGAAGCAAAGAATATTTAGTGAATCAATTGCAAAAAATTTTACAAAAAATAATATTGAACGTTTTCTCCATCATATTTTTAAGAAATTAGAATATTTATTATGAAATCAACGATACAAAATGTTTTGATGGCTTTAAATTATATATAATATCCCTTTTGCATATCTAGTAATCTACTTCTACATTTAATATACATTTAAATAATACAATCTTTGAACTATAATATTTAAGGTTCGGGGAGATGCTATTAGTATTATTTGTATTATCCTTGTTTTACATTGAATGAAAATTAAAAGTAAAATGACATAAATAACGCTAGTGTCTCTTTGATGCACTTCTAATGTCAGTTATTAAGAAAAACTTAAAGTATGTTAATATTTCAACTCTCACAATTTCTTAATTATGTATCTTTCTGATTGAGTTTCCCAAGTGAAAATATATTCTCTCGAAATTAACTGTGAAATATTATTTTGGTCATTTTTTTGCCAGAAGTTTCTTACTTATACAATCATAAATTATTCTGAAACTACTGATACATGTATATTGTTGAGGAATATTTGATTTCTCTTTTAGGAATATTTGATTTCTAATTAATTAACTCTTTTTAGTCACCTGGAGGTAACTATGAAGGGTTGATCATCTAGAAGATCTCAAAAAAATATACTTTATATTCCTAAGATCTTTTTTAAAAATGGCACTTAAACTGTCCGAAATTTAAAATATTCTTTTTGCACTTTCAACCGCATGTTGCTCCTTGGATGTTAGCCTTTGCGATTTTTTTAAATATGTTAAAATAAAAACTTTAAAAATCCTGCATTCTTGCATATTCTACAATGTTTAAAGTATATTTAATAATTTTTGTGATTTTAAAGAATTAAAGCTGTAAATACAATCAATTAAAATATTGGGATTATTTTGCCCCCTGTGTAACTAATAAAATTTTCAGGAGATGTGACTACGAAGGCTTAAAGAGTTTATCGTGAAAATTTGTTAAAATCGTATACCTTTAAAGAATTTTGCATCTGCCGTCATGCATGGCGCTTTTCCCATAAAACAATTATAGTATTGATCTCGCAATCTATTATTTTGAAGGATATTTTCTGCATTAATTTTGTCATACCGATCAGAGTACAATTCTTGCGCTAAATACAAATCAATATAATAACAATGATCGTCACGATATAGTTTAAAAAGTTTTCGAATCATCGTTTCTTCTGTTTTCATGTTAACTTATGAGAGACTGATCGAATGTGCATTTTATTTATACATTTAGCACGAGATAAAAAATTACCATATGTAAGATGATGAATACACATGGTATTATAAACGGAATGTATCTGATTATAAATAAAAAATTGAACTAGGTCATTTCTAAGTAATCAATGCACTGATCTCGTAATTTATTTGAAGGATATCTTCTGCGACACTTTGTCATATCGATCGGAATACAAGCATTTGCATTCGAAATACATATGGCTAATTAGCAATACAAACAATATGTATATGTTTTCATAAAGTTTTTACATAAAATTTTCCAAGCACTCGTAATTTTTATAAATGAGCTAGTGTAATAAATGAAGTATAACAAATGAAATATACCTCTAGTATAACATTTTTTCTGATTACATAAATGAAATAATATAATATTAATTTCCCGGAGACAACTTTGCACTTATATCAGGGTTGCCACAGACCTGGAAAATCGGGAAAAGTTAAGGAAATAAAAATTCGTCAAGGAAATCGGGAAAACTCAGAACTCTTTGAAGAATTCTTCTTAATTTTTACACGTTACTTATGGAGTCTCCCTTTTGTAGCATTTCTTCCGTCTCGGCTATCTTAATTCCTTTCTTTTTGATAATCTTCTTTAATTCTTCGCTAATTATTTCTGTTGCTTCTTCACGGCAAGTGCAAGCTGTATTATTTATTAATTAGATATTTTGCACTTTAGCTCGAGTTTTTAGACAAATGATTAATTTCTTTAAATTTAACTGTAAATACAAATTAAATAAAAGTACAAACAATCTAAATTATAAATATTATAATTATTAAATTAATTTATTAAATCTTAAATATATTAATATAATAAATTGTTATATACAGGGTGGGTTTTAGATATCTAATGGTTTTCAAAATGAAGTAACAATATATAAATAAACTTAAATATTAATTTAACAATAAGAAATACCATTTGAGTATATCTGAGTATATTTTAGTATGACTAATTGTGAGAGAGTTTAACAGAAACAACTGTTCAATAAGCGCTTAGTTATTTTTTATTGTATTTAGTTTCTATATTTACTGTTAGAGCGAAGAACTAAAGACAAGAATCAACCATATTAAAGAATCAGTAAGCGGTTCACATTCACATTTATTAAATAAAAATATTGGCATTATACATATCATTATTAAATAAAAATGCGAACGCAATAGGTATGTAGACCGAGCATTCCATTAAAATTGTGTTAGTTTAGAAAGAGAGAGAAAGCTTGATGTGTATTGATCTTTCTTTAAAATATTAGTAAGGGAGGGTAATTATTAATTAGTAAATATTAATAATGATATATACATAATATTAAATAGCCCTTCCTATCACCTGCCCCTCAACATAAAACGAGTTAAAAAGATGTACTATTACTTTTCAATGTCACGTTCTCTTTCTGAGCGAACATAAATGTTAAGGTCAGGTTTAAAATAGGCAGCGCACAGCCTATATGTATTACTTCTACAATCGCAAATAAATAACTTAATTTGTCGAAAAGATTAATAGTTATGATTTTTAAGAAAAAAATTAAATTTAAACACTTTTACATTTTATTTCATTGCATAACACAAGTACAAATTATATCAATAATTATAGTATCTAGAAATATTCTATATTTTTTAAAAAGATATTTCCAAATATTTAGATCGAGTAATTTTATAAATGATTAACATTTTCTTGCCGTGCCCTCCTTGTTGATTATGTCAGCAATTATCTACCAGCGTTTTTTTTTCATATCCTCAACAGACTTTGCAATTAGAGTTTCCCATTGTTCAGGTTTATTTTGTACAAACCAATTCTTCATCGTAAGCTGTAATTCCTTTTGTTTTTGAGTACATTTCTTACATTTAGTTTGGAGAGATTCACTCAAAATTTCTAAAATCAAATTGCCATATTGATTTTAATTCATAGTATAGCATAAAATTCTCTTTTTTTTCTTCTTTCTCTAATTTTTCCTTTATTTTAATTAACAAGTATATATGTGAAATTTTGAAAAATTAAGTTTGAAGCAAAAATTTAATGAGCCGATATTTATGCAACTTTTATAAAAGTAAAATTAAAAATAAGCCTTTTTCTTTATATTTTTAAGAAATTAGAAAACTAAAAATTAAACGTTACAATAATCTTTGAACTCGCCTCTAATGAAAAGCAATATTTCCTATATGATAGGGGATGTCTACTTCTAAATTGCGTTTGAATGACATAATCTTCGCGCAATTTAATGTCAGAGTTTAGAATAGAAAAAGTTCAAAATATGTTAATTTCTTTAATAATTTATTCTTTTGATTTTTTAATTTTTATATTTTCTTATATTTCTCAAATGAAAAAATGTTTTCTCGAAATTAATTGAAAAACATTATTTATTTTGATTATTACTTTTATTTATGCTTATAAGAAATTTCTTATATAAGCATTAATTAGCATAAAGCTATTGATACGTATAAATTGACAACTTAATTAAAATTTGTTTTATTGTCGTAAAACTTTATTCGTTGGAAAATTCTAAGTATAAGTGTACCTTGAAAGAACTTCGCATCTTCTGTCGGGCATGGCGCCTTTTCCAAAAAACAATTGTAGTATTCATCTCGTAATTTATCGTTTTGAAGGATACTTATGGCATCAATATTGTCATATTTATCAGAGTATAGTTCTTTCGCTAAAACGCACAACAGTGTTATACTGATAATCCTCACGACGTAGCTTAATTGAACCATATCTTCTGTTATTTTCACACTACTCGTGAGAGAAACTGAATCAGTCAATCAAATATGTATGTTATATACCTAGCATGAAATAAAAAAAATTGACCTTTACAGATGATGAAAGCCTTATATAAGTAGGTATATAGGTATAGGCGGGTTCCAATCTATGGAGCTAGAGGGGAGGGGCGCAAGGGGAGGAGAGTAGAGGTATTCATCGACGCGGGGAAAGAGGAGGAAGGCGCAGAAAGCCTCGGTGCTATCGGTTTATAATGATATGATGCCACCATATTGTGACCATCCCACACCCTACCGCCGCGGCTGCCACCGCCACCGCCACGGACCCCGCATTCACTCCAAAATATGTTGCCATCTTCTCTTATCTCCCTTTTTTTTCTTTTCGCACCCAAAATCGTAGGTATACTAGTCCCAGCGCTATCGGTATTTACATAAACATAGAACCCCGGTCGATGGATTACATAAATATGATGACGTTTCGCTATGTCTTTCATATTTTTCACCGCCATCCTCCTAAAATGCATCGGTAACAAAGGCTTGCAAACATTTGCCGCATATACTTATCATCTCTCTTCCTCTTATGTTTTTGTCATTCCCGCTGCGTTGTCGCTCCTGTTGTATGTTCTTCTCGCACGCAAATATATTTTGTCATACGTTTTATAATGATTTAAATAGAGAGAACGCTTAATACAGTTGTGACCGTCTGAGTTGAGTGCCGTTGAGTGTGAAGATGCTGATAAGACGCATATATAATATGAGAGTGCTATGATAACAAGAAAGGAATAATCATACACCCAGATATATAATTTAAATATGCGTTTACTTTTATATATAATGTAATTTTACAATAGTTCTTATTATATAGTTTCTTATTATATAGTTCTTACAATATTTATAAGCAGAAACTTAATTTAATTTCATTTAATTTAATTAATTTCAAATTGAATTTTAAGCACCTGCTTCCAATTAGCAATAAAATGTACATTTTTTCACACTGTTTATAATATTATCTAAAGCATAAACTATTATCTCACACTCTATATTTGATTTTTTATTATAAATTTTGCGCAAAAAATCTACAGCATCACATTTATCGATGATACAATTTTCACCTAAAAATGTTACAAAATATTTAAAATTTTCGTTGACGATATGTGTATTCACAGCTCAGAGTATATACATTCTGGACACAATGTTTGAGTTCGAACATGATTGACGGCTTCGTATACAAACATGTTTCGCACAGTGTTAATTTGACCACATTCACATCACGCATTTTTATGACTTTTATCACTAGATCTTGGACCGATAATGATGAAGGTGCGATTGATTGCACGAACCACTCAATATTCGCGCGTTTTTCAATGAAAGCCTACCACATTGCACGAGGCAAAATTATATACCTTGGTTGTCGCCAATTACAATTTCTACTAAAATTTCTTCTAAAAGACACAGGTCCCACAACGATTCCGACATCCAGATATTTGTAGCTGTAGGAGTCAGTGTAAAACTTCTTCTCAATATACGAGGTGTATGACGGAGTTTATTACAAGAAGATGCTCTGTAGAAAAAAGTAATATATTAGGTGTACAACTTTGCTTCCGCCATTTTCCTATAGATGGCTTTAGCGGTAAGTGGTGGTCGAAATAAATAGATCATAGACGTCATACAATAAACATGGGCATCTGTCAACATAACTCCATAGAAACATTAGTCGATTTGTGTCTGCATCATAAAGTTATTCTCGATTGAAAATGTCAGTTTACGAGCCAAATTCTCGTCATTTACGGGAGGTTTTAATTTTTTTGCTTCAATATGAAGAAATCTGCGGCTGAGGTTCATCGAATGCTCTCAAATACTTATGGTGAGGCCGTTATTAGTGAAAGAACGTGTCGTGAGTAGTTTCAACGCTTTAAGAACAGTTTTTTGACGTCGAAGACCGGCATAGCGGTGGAAGAGAGAAGGAATTGGAGGCATTACTTGAGCAAGACTCGTATCAAAATCAAAAAGAATTGGCACGATCATTGGGAGTAACTCAACAAGCCATTTCAAAACATCTCAAAGCCATGGGAATGATTCAGAAGCAAGGAAATTGGGTGCCGTACGAATTGAAGCCGAGAGATGTTGAACGGCGTTTGTTTGCTTGTGAACAGCTGCTTGAAAGGCAAAGATGGAAGAGATTTCTGCATCGCATTGTGACTGGGGACGAAAAATGGGTTCATTACGTACATATAATCCCAAGCGCAGAAAATCATGGGGTGTTCTCGGTCATGCTTCCACGGCCAAACCGAATATTCACGGCTCCAAGGTCATGCTCTGTATTTGGTGGAACCAGCTCGGCGTAGTGTATTATGAACTGTTAAAACCGACTGAAACAATCACAGGCGATCGGTATCGAACGCAATTGATGCGTTTGAGCCGAGCATTGAAAGACAAACGGCCGCAACGAGAGACACGATAAAGTGATTTTGCAGCATGACAATGCTCGACCCCATGTTGCGAAAGTGATCAAGATATACTTGGAAACGTTGAAATGGGAAGTCCTACCCCACCCGCCGTATTCTCCAGACGTTGTTCCCTCTGACTATCACTTGTTTCGATTAATGGCACACGGTCTGGCTGACCAGCACTTCCGGTCTTATGAAGAAGTAAAAAATTGGATCGATTCGTGGATAGCCTCAAAAGATGACCAGTTTTTTCGACGCGGGATTCGTACGCTACCCGAAAGATGGGAGAAAGTAGTGGCCAGTGATGGACAATACTTTGAATCATAAATGTATAACCAGTTTTTTACAATAAAGCCTCGAATTTCGAAAAAAAAACGGCGGAAGCAAAGTTGTACACCTAATATAAAAATAAACGCATTTAAATTATATATCTGGGTGTATGATTATTCCTTTCTTGTTATCATAGCACTATTATATGTCTTATCAGCATCTTCACGCTCAACGGTACTGCACAACAGACGGTCACAACTATATTAAGCGTTCTCTCTATTTAAATTATTAAATAAAAAATGTGTGACAAAATATATTTGCGTGCGAGAAGAACATACAACGGGAGCGACAATGCAGCGGGAATGACGAAACATAAGAGAAAGAGAGATGGTAAGTATATACGGCAAGTGTTTGCAAGCCTTTGTTATCGATGCATTTTGGGAGGGTGGCGGTGAAAAATATGAAAGGCACAGCGAAACGTCATCATGTTTATATATTCCATCGATCGGGATCTTATGTTTATGTAATTACCGATAGCTGAAATAGTATACCTATGATTTTGCGAAAAGAAAAAAAGGGAGATAGAAGAAGAGGTAACACATTTAGGAGTGGTCGCAAGGTCCATGGCGGCGGGATGTGGGGTGGCGGTCCCCCCCAATGATACGTAATGCTACAACATGGTGGCATCATGTATCATTATAAACACCGATAGCGTTGGGGCCTTCCTGCGCCTTCCCCTTCTCTTTCCTACGAGTACCCCTCGCACCTTTCCCTACGCGCCAATGAGACCCCTCCCCCCGCATCCCATGCCCTCCTCTATATATGGCCCATAGGTTAGAACCTGTCTAGTATACCTACTTATATATAAGATAGCTTGTATCATTACGTAATAGGAAAAGATCGAATGTAATAGTTATTAATGTGACTGGAATAATTACATATGTTTAAATTATCCTTCCAATCGTATAGATATAAATAGCAATGTATTATGCAAATAACATAAATATATAGTTTCATAAAATTTCCATTTCAAGTAATAATTTTCTGGTATTAATAATTCTTATAAATATATTACAATGTTTCCTGTATACAATAATTTTATCTTTTATTTATTTGAATATAAAATAACATGTTACAATTAAAGATGTTATTTATTGTAACAAATATTTAGTAGCAATAGAACAATTTCTCTTTGAATCTTAGATTGTTGGACATATCTTAGCCTAAGGATGAGATTATATTTATATGTTTTTATACGACAAATTTTTCAAACTTGTTGATTAACTATAAGATAGAGAGATTCTTGAATTTCTCTGTCCTGCAATCATACCCATGAAATATTATATTAGCCTTAGACTAGCTCTCTCTAAAAAAATGTTTTGAATAACTTTCTTTTCTAAAATGTATTTGTACCTGCTCACCGAAGATCTATGAAGTTAACACAACATTCTATTAATATAAAAAAAAATAATGACAGTTTTTTCATCTACAATATTATTCGTTGTCACCGGACTTATCAACCTTTGTCAATAGAATAAGGAGATTGACTCGCCATACTTTCGTTTTGCCATGAAGAAGTGAGAGATTTACAACATATATTTAGACATACTGATGATAGTAAAACAAGCCAAAATGTCTATGCGTAATTAATTATATATCATTTTTCGATAATAAATGATTCTTATTTTTGCACTAATAACCATGTATATAACTTTCATTAGCCCTTTATTTATTTTTTGTTATATATATTTTGACATTCTTGAGAGTTCGAGTACTTGTCTTATTTGAAATAAAAGAATATCTATATATTTTTCTGCAATTTGTTTAATTATTTTTTATTATACAAAACTCAAGGATATATGAATATATCACGTACAATCCTTGCAAAGAAAATTAAATTTGGAAAATGTGTTTAATACTTACACTTTAAATAAACTATACTAGAGCACAAATTAAAAAAATATTACTATTTATTATTAAGATAACTTATGATCCAGATAGTAAACCATCACTAAATTTGTCGTTTTATTTTTAAATAATCTAATTTAGAGTAATCTGTAATTTTTTCATAATTTTGTTATCATTTTGAAAATATCTATAAAACATCCTTAAATGGAAAAATGTATATAGTCCGGATATATAAAAGTGATTACACCTCTGATTGCGAATAAAAAAATTGTATTGTTCATGTTGCAAGCATTAATCTTTTCCACTCATTAAATCAAAATAAATGCGATAATTAAGAGATTATATCATGAATTACATTGTACATCGGAAATAAAGAAAATATACTTTATGCAATTATGTATTACATAAAACGTTAGTTTTTTTTATGAAAACGCAACGTATGTTGCTGTTCTATGGGTTGCTATAAATGGTTGCGTTCAACAGAAAAAACAGCTTTGCAACTGTTGTAAAATTCTTTAATATAATTGGTCTTGCCCTTAATTCCACTGGATCTAAATGTAAACCAATCATATTGAAGAATTTTATAGTTGCAAAACTCGTTTTTCTGAACGCAGCCAATTCTTCTATTCGAATGTGTCGAATGTGCTTTAATAGCCAGAACTTTGTTTATCCTATATAGAACTATAGAACTATTGAAAATAAACTCAGAATTCTCAATATTTAATGAGTTTTCACCAACTGAAATGCTAGCTTTACATACATGCTTATTAGCATAAAAACTGATTATCAATTCAATAAATGATACTACTTTAATTCTGTTCATGATTGTATTTTAAGACCAAAAAATATTTTAATGCGCGATTTACAAAATCAGATGTGTATATAAATTTACATAGAAATATTTAATCATTAAAATCCGCTTTGATCGAATATGGGATTTCATTTATTTAATTAAATTTATTTTTATTGGTCCAAATCCTTGTTATAATTGTTCACTGATATGTATTAGATGAATACTAATTAATGTTATTAAGTCTCAATTGAACACTTGCCATTTTATAAGCACACTGTCGTTGTTATTTTGATGCTTTATTTATTATAATATTATATAAACAATTCATTTTTAATTTCACAATTTTTTAATAATATTTTTATAAAGGGCACTATATGTCATGCTTTAATGTATGCAAATTATTATTAATGCACATGTAGCAACTTATCTTTGGCAATGTTAATCAGCAATTCATATAATATATGTATATCAAGATATTAGTGGTACAGATTTTTTTGCGTGTTCTCTCGACAATATTTCTTTTATAGTTGTGAAATTTTATGATAATTGAAACAATGAAGTAGCGCATAACACATGCCATTTAGTTCATTTTTATTTGTATATATATACATATATATACATATCGTAAAAATTGTTCATATCGTAAACATTATAAAATTGTGTAAGCATAGTTGTAAATGGTTGTAATTATAAAAATTGATCAATTATAGTTAAATATTCTTCTCGTATTCAGCTGGTGAAGTTTTACAACTATGCTTACGTATTTGTAGAATAGGCTTTATATGAAATATGCTTTAGGGATATTTTATTTAACTATTCAGTTAATACTATTTAAATTCAGGTTGTTTAATAAATTACTGATTTTATTTTGATCGAATTGATAATAACATAATTTTATTGATTTTAATATTCTTCTTTATTTTAAAATAGTATGAACATTATAGAACACAGCAAAATAGTAACATGGTTTTTTTTTTTGATATTTGAATTATTATTTTTTATAATAAATTTTATACATGCATTATTTTCGTCAAATTTAAAGATTGGTATTCATAAAGTTTGTTTTTATGTTAATACAGTCCTGTGCTTGATTAATAATACCTTAAAATATTATAAAAATATTATAAAATATTATTACAGAGCCGTTTTAGCATCTTAAGACTTATATTACTCTGTTACTGTTACAGTTATAAAAAAAAAACTATTAGTCTGTTATCGAAAGAAACTAACTATAATAGCATTACAAAAAACGAGTTATTTTCAATCTCAGTCAAAAAGATTAAGGTTTTCATGAAAAAAGTGTAAATCAAATATACTTATACATTTTATTTCATGATTTCTATACATTTTACAGCATAAAACTACAATAGAAGCATGGATTACACTAATAATTATATCTTGAAATTTCTATGTTGAGATGTTTCTAAATATAAAATATTCAATAACTTTATATGATTAACATTTTCGATTCTTTCTGCAATTATAAACCAGCATTCTTCTTTTTCATATCCTCAATAGATTTTGCGACAAGAGCTTCCCATTGTTCAGGTTTATTTTGTGTAAACCAATTCTTCGCCGCAGTAAATATTTCTTTTTGTTTTTCAGTACATTTTTTACAACTAGTTTGGATAATTTCGCTCATAATCCCTGAAATTAAGTAAAGAAAGCTCCTGATATATTGGTTTTCATAGCAAACATAAAATTTTCTCTTTCTTTTTTCTCAATTTTTTTCTTCATTATAATTAACAAATACGTAATATGTAATTAACAAATATGGAATATTGAAAAATCATGTTTGAAATAAAAAAAGATATTTATTACAGTTTTTATAAAAATATAAAATTAAAAAATATATAAAATTAAAAAATAATTCTCTTTCGTCATATTTTAAAATAATTAGAAAATTTATCCAAAAATTAACGGTACAATAACCTCTGATTATCTCGAATAAGATTTAATATTTCTTATGCATGAGTATATATATTTATTTTTAAATTGCGTTTGAATAATCTTTGCGCAATTTAGTGCCAGTTTTTAGAAAAAAATTTGAAATATGTTAACTTACAAATTTTTTTTGTTATATGTGTATATTTTTGATTAAGTTTTCTGATAGAAAATATGTTTTTCCCAAATTAAATGAAAAATATTTATTTATTCAGTTATTTTCTTTATTTATGTTTATCGTTATGTTTATTGTTATCGTTATGTTTATCGTTTATGTTTATGTTTATCGTTTATCGTTAAAAATTTCTTATACAACATTAATTATTCTGAAACTACTGATATATATATATATAAACTTGGCAACTTGATTTCTAATTGAGAGATTAAAGAATTTTTCCTAAAAATTTATTCGTTGAAACACTTTAAGTGTAAATATACCTTGAAAGAATGTCGCGTCTTCTGTTAGGCATGGACTTTTTTCCATGTAACAATTGTAATATTCTTCTCGCAATTTGTCATTTTGAAGGATACTTGAGAAATCAGTATTGTCGAACCGATCGGAATAAAGTTCTTCCGCCAGAACGCACATCAGTGCAATACCGATGAGTACGATGTAGCTTGATCGAGCCATCATTTGTCTTATTTTTGCACTAACTTTTAAGAAACTGAACAATTGCTCAAATGTGCATCTTATTTATACACTCGGCATGAGATAAAAACATTGACATGTAAGAATGATGAATACCTTGTAGAATTAAAGTAGCTTGTCTTATTGCATAATAAGAAAAAAATCAACTGCGATAGTGTCTTAAATTATCTTCTCGGTCATACAGATAATAAATTTGAGTATGTGTGGTTAATAGCAATGTTACGTAATAACGTAAATGTTTTCATTCCAGGTAATTTTCAATGTCTTATAAGTTAGCGGAATAAAATTATTAGAATTAATTCTAATTATTATTTTTATTTGTTGCTAAAAAATACCAAAGAAATAAATTTATTGCTCTGTAAGTTTACTTAAAAAAATAATGTTTCGCTAAAGGAACATTAAGTTAGCGGAACATAATATATATAATAACAAAATTGTACTCAATATAACTAAGTAATTTAAGTTAAGTAATTGCTAATTTGTTTTTGTCGAAACATTTAAATTTTGTTGATTTATGAAATAAATAACAACGAAAAATGTTTCAGCATGCAGATGATTGAAACAATAAAATACCAGAAAAAATTTGTTTTCTCTCTTTGATATTAAAGTCTCTGGATACGTCGAGAGCAATAAATTCAGACTTCAATTTTAAGTAATTTCAAGTATTTTTGCTGGCATTTTACTCTAATATCGCTGTTTTTCACATATTTTGCAAGTAACAAATTCAAAATTTGTATATTTTGAGAGCAACAGATTGTTCCACTAACTTATAAGATGTGATCCTGAGATGAGAAACTAATCTAAAGTAGATATTCTTGATATAATATGGTATTATTATTCCGGGATATGATTATCTATTAAGGATATGTCTGTAATATTAATCATTGATAAATATGTATAAAAATATTAATGGTAAAGAAAAATAAATTAAAACACTTACAAAATATTAACGCATACTTATACTCATAAATTATGCTATATATTATACACGTTATTTAAATATTTTTATGCATTACACTTACTGTCTATTTTGTGAAATCGAATTGTTTTTGTTTTGGAAAAAATTTCAGTTGATTAGACAAAGATAGAAATAATGTTTCATGAAAAATTAAGTTAAAGATTGACAGTCACGTGAAATATTAAATTAAATATGCATGTGTATATTAAGATGACTGCTATTAATTATGAGAGAATAATAATATATATTCTTTTATATAAAAATTATATTTTCTTTTTTATGTGTGTGTCAAATGAGGATGTTGCAAATAAATATCCTAATTTGTATTGATAAAAGAAACGGTTACTATTTTCAAATAACAAAAATGAAATCAATTACACTTCTATTTTATTATTAATATTTATAACATCATACTACAATATAAACTACAATATAAACATTAATTGTAATAATTACAGCATCTAGAAATTTCTTTGTTTTCTAAAGAGATGTTTCCGCATATTAAAGCTTTAGTCATTTTATTAATATATAATAAGATTAATTCATTTTCGATTTTTTTTCTATACTCTCCTCGTTATTTCAGCAGTTGTTAACAATTATGTACCCTGATTCTTCTTTTTTAGGTTTTCAATAGTCTTTGCGACGAAAGCTTCCCATTGTTCAGGTCTATTTTTTGTGTACCAATCCACTATTAAGTTCAATATTTCCTTTTGTTTTTCGGTACATTTCTTACATTTAGTTTGGAGAGCTTCGCTGGCAACCTCTAAAATCAAACCAAACAAAATTCTTGATATATTTTTAATTCATAGTAAGTTTTAATTTATCAGGTTTTAATTCATAGCAAAAATTCTCTTTCCTCTCTTTCTTTCTTTATCTTTTTTCTAATTAACATGTATGTATAATGTATGTAGAATATTGAAAAATTAAGTTAGAAACAAAAAATATTCGACAAATTGATATCTATGCAATTTTTACAAAGAATAAGATAAAAAATCTTCTATATTTTTAAGAAATCAGAAAATTTAGTCAAAAAATTATGATATATATTATA